AAGCACTGTTGATCACCTCCAAGTGGGTCACCATAAACACCTTCGCTCACCACTATTGGAAGATTTGTTCTTGCTGACTGCACTGGCTTTGTCTGAGAAGTCATTTCTGTGACCTCTGTAACTGAGTGAAGACCTGACATTTTAATAGTAGCTGCTGTTAGCTGTGAGTTTCATCTCTTGGGGAGCTGCAGTAAGTTTTGATGATTGTTTCAAATGTCTTGCCATGTCACTTGAAACCTGTAATAGACCAAGAAAATAATGAATGTCTCAGAAATAATTCTGTGATTCAAAAGAAAAAGATGAAGAAAGAGAAGGAAGAAGAAATATATATCACAAAACTACATTTGAGAGTTAATCAGCATTCAACTCTAAATTTGGATCATGCCAACTTTGTCTTGCACCTGTCAGTCACTCTAACACAGAGGTATCAGTAAATTTTAAATACACATCATATACCCATGTGTGTGCGTGCGTGTGCGTGTGTGTGTGTGTGTGTGTGTGTGCGTGTGCGTGTGCGTGTGCGTGTGCGTGTGCATGTGCGTGTGCGTGTGCGTGCGCGCTTATGCTTGTTTAACATTAAATTCCCCCTGAACAGGTCATTCATATTAACCCAATTGGCACGGACGGCAAGAATACATGCCATGCCCACTGTAATATAAGTTCATCTATTGTCTTTATACATAAATAGCTCTAGAAGTGCTTAGTAACCAAGGAGTTAGTTATTTGTCTTACTTAACCCATTCGCCACATGTGGCAAGAATAGATGCCATACCCACTTTGAGACACGTTTATTTATTGTATTTACACATAGATGGCTCCACAAGTTCTTAATCACCAAATAGCCAGTTATCAAGAACTACCTATTTTACCTGTATACCCTTTTCCTTCACTTTAGGAAAGGGATTTTTGTATCATTTCATTGTCTTAAATATTCTAATGGCTATTTGATAATCACAACATCAGTAACAATAATAACAGTATCGATAGCAATGGTATTAATTTTCCCGCCAATACAATGAATGGGAAAATCAGGGTTGGTAACTAGGGCCTACTGATAGACTCCTTGCTGGCTGAGTACATGTGGAGCCATCTGTATGTAACAAAATTAACCAAAAACTACAGGGGGCAGAACATAAATCCGGGGCGAATGGGTTAACTTACCTGCTTACCCTTTTCCTTGATCTTTGGAAAGTGCCTTTTGTATTATTTAATTTTCTTTCATATCACAAAGATCTCAATAACAATTTAACCATGAAAATACCAATAAGAATAATAACAGTATCAATATCAATAGTATTAGAAAGAAAAACACATTTTGCTGCCAATTCAAGGAATGTGGAAATCAGGATCAGTCACTAGGGCATACTACTAGACTCCTTGCTGGCTGAGCACATGTGGAGCCATCTGTATGTAACAAAATTCACAAAAAATACCAAGGATATCACATAACTCCTTGGTGATTGAGTTAACAAAATTATATATTCTACAAAAGGGGAGTAATAGTCAAGTAAACAAAATAATACAGTATATTCTGCTTTTGAGATACATTCAAGTATCTCATAAGTAACATCCTTACTACAGATACTTGAGAAGAGTATGCAAATTTATTGGGAGAAAAAAAAGGGAATTAAAACACAGAGACCATATCTAGAGACATAAGAAACAGAACATATACTGTATGTACACATAATTCAAATCTGGCCCTACAACCCTCTAGCAGAAAGATGCCATTTATGTGGCAAGATCTCTAAAGAATTCATAGAAACAAGAAATAAAGTGAATCGTTTATTCACTATTCACTAAAACTATGACAAATACTGGACAAGCACTAACTGTACATGATTATCATGTGACATGTATGTCACATGATCATCAAAAATACCTTCCTGAGAAAGTTTCAGTTAATTTTCAAATAAGGACTACAAACAGAGGGAGAAAGGCTATATCTATAATTTTAAATAATGGGCCCAAGGTATACAAATAACCTACAGATCATAAAGTAAGCTCATAATTACCTATCAAACTCCTGAGATCTATATTTGCATAAGTGAATCAACATGCACCTCCACCAGCTATGCCCTTATACTTCTGGCTGATGTCAGAGTTGCTGTGAAGGTACTTGAAAAACTGCACCCTCTTCATATACTTAACCCATTCACCCTACGTGGCAAGAATACATGCCATGCCCTCTGTAATACACATTTATTTATTGTATTTACATGTAGATGGCTCTACAAGTTTTCAATCACCAAATAGCCAGTAATTAAATGAATACATTATTAAATGAACCACTGAGGGTAGGCAAACAATAATGGTGTGAGGATCAGGATCCTTAAATAAATATTATGGATAATCAGGTCCTCTTTGAAGCAGTTAATGACTGGAATGACTATAATAATGTCAAAAACCATCTGCATTCAATTTTTCCACCTGATTTTGCATGTATAGCCTAACCTCCAATAAGATTAATTGGCAAACTGATAGGCTATTTGGCAACAATCTTCTGCCATATTCAAATTTCAATTGTTATGCACAACTCCCATCCAGCCTGTGCTGATATGTGGTCTTTTGTAAATGGTTAAGGGGGAGGGTCAGACACAGCTAATGACTGATGATGATGTGAACAAAGGTAAAAGTAAAAGTGAAACAAAAAAGTGGAATTGTTACAAGGGAAAGATGTCTACAAAGTACAAAAAGCAAGACAAAGCAAATGGTACTGAAATACATTGCCTGGAGACTGTTGGCAATTATCTGCCAGTCATTACCATGGAATTATGATTAAAATAAATTTTCCATTTGCTCGCCTTAATTTCATTTCATGATATCTCAGAATGATACAAAAAGTGTGTGTCAGATGGGCAAAATTGCATAGAGACTCTACTACCCTAAGGCCAATTACATTATTTCCCATTAGTTTAGTTATCTGCTTTTGGCCAAATATGGATTTGGCAAGCTTTTTTTCAGTACTAATTATCTATCAAATGCTAGGCTTGCCAATATTTAAATCAGAACAATAATGCATATACAGCATCATTACAGTAACCATTAAGAATACTGGGCCAACAAATATTCATAATCAATAAGAACAGAATAATATATTTTGACATTTCAAATTCATTAAAAAATTCCTCTTGGAATTAAAGAAAGGAAAATGTTAATTTTTGCTTTCTCATGTGAGGGAACCTTGTTAGATTTTAAACATTACAGTATAATACTCTATGCATATAATTGTCTTTTTGAAATATCTATTCAAAACCATTGTTATTGGAAAAGGTAATAATATCATTCAAAATGTCAAACTGTGTGATCAGTGTGCCCATAAGAGAGGAGTTAGGGGTGGGAAGCATTAATAAACTGACAAAGTTTAACCAGGACCAGCTTTAGCTTAGGGAGATTTGTTTATTTATTGAAAAATTTCTGCCATGTCAGCAACTCTATAGTAATAGGGTGGGGCCTTAGCACTGATCTCAAAAAAAGACTGGATCAACCTTCCTATTGTTTTCGCAGTAAGGTTTCTGAAGCCAATTGACTCTTAGTGGGCACCATGACAGTGTGAACCAATGCGCGGCAAAGTTTAAGGTAAATATATTGAAAGCCGCCTCAACCCAATGTGCGGGAAACTTTAAGATAAACATATCGAAGACCGCCTCAACCTTGATAAATTATTTTCAAGTTAAATGAACAGTCAAATTTCTTACGCTGATTGTAGCTGGAAACGGATTGTTGACTAGTCTAGAAATATCTCTAGTTTATCATTTTTGTTAGAAAATACCTCAAAACTGCTTTCTGGATAGAAACTCACCTTAGTTCATGCAAAGCAGAGATTTCATTATGAAATCTATAGCAATCATCCACTACGCCCCAAGTCATTCCACAGATTGTTTGGGTCACACTGTCATGGCGCCAGAGTTTTCAATTGTGCTTCACAACAAAGCACTGGTTGCTCGATCCAGTCTTTTTTTAGAGATCAGTGGGCCTTAGGGGCAAAGCTCCCAGGAAAGAAGTTTTTTGGTTTAGAGGGCAATGTTTTTGGATTTCCAGAATGGTCAAAACAAACAAATGTGCCTGACATTAGATGACATTTTGTGGAGAAAAGGAAAAAATGAATTAATGATCAGAGTAAGTGGACAGAAGGGATGAAGAAGGAATGGAGAGGTTCAGGTTTATGGGGGTTGTTGGAACCTCAATATAACCCCTACATAAGAGGGCAGCAAGGGGTAAAGCCGCTTAAGTCACATAGATGGCATTATCTGTGATACAGTTTTTAATATTTTTTCCATCTTTATCAATGTATAGCTATGCAATGCTCTCCCCAGGTATAGGCTATAATGGTCTATAACAGAACGTTACATACATTCAGAAAAATGAACAATACTGATACTCATCGCACTAATGAAGGATTAATACTTGATATTTAAAAGAATAACCACAATGACTTAGATCATCATTGCAGAAAAGAAAAATAAATCTCTAGCACACATATTTTGGCAAAGTGGTGCTCATTAACATTTAATGTCAAACAAGGAAACAGCCCATCTTATGCAGATAGAATAGGCCTATAAGGGGTGGAGTTTGATAGCCTAAGTATAATGGGTGGAGACAGAGGCAATCATTTGATTTTCTATCTATGAACTATTACCCATTAACACATAAAGATGATTTCCACAAACAAAGCATATCATATCTGGAAAGTTCATCATCTTGCATGACCCATTGTCTCTGGTGAGCTAATTTTTTGGATCTTCTTCACCATGTGTTGTGTCAACTAATGGTAATTCTTGGACCCAAGACCTTCATCCAACAAACTCTATATCAATATATCTCAAGTCAAGGAAGGTACTACAACCTCCTAACACTGTAATGTGTTTATGGTACCAATTTAATGCAGATTGATACACAACTTTGATGGTTAATGGTTAATGGTTAAAAGCAAAATAAATGTGCTAGACATCTAAGGTCATGTAGTACAATAGTAAATGTTAGTAAAGGGTGGTTAAGTTAGTGGTTAGTTATCAAAGCTGGGCAAAGGAATTGGTGAGTGAATGGGTTAAGGTCGGGTGAGGTAATGTAAAGGGGTTAGATTAAGTGAGGGATATTTATGCGTTTGAGAGGAAAACAGGTTGTCAAAGCAGAATAGGTTGGGAGGTCGGTGAAGGGAGGATAGGTGGGGGGAAGCAGAGGTACAGGCTGCTTCAAAACGTGTGCATGACAATAGAATGTGTGGGACTGAAAGAGGAACATAAGGAGCATAGGGGTGGATCTGATTGTGACATCAGATAAGAGTGTGTTAGACTCAGTGGCTGAGCAGTCTGTGTTAACAATGCGTGAGAACTTAGTAAACATTAGATCACGTGTGGACATAACCGCGTCATTGCCAAGTGGACTTAGCTGCAGTGTGGCATTCACCCCAATATATTTTCGGCGTTTAACCCAATGGCGCCGGGTGTACAAAAGAAAAAAAAACTCTACGCTTAAACAAACAAAGGCGGCGCGCCGACTTTGAGCGCGTGAGTAGGGGACATCAGCCCGAATCACTGGCTCGCCACCGGCTTGTTCGGCTGCACGCCAACTTTCGAGCTCTTTGTGTACACGCTGATCGGCGTCACCCGGCACCAAGGGGTTAACTGGAATCAGTAGGCTTCTGCAAATTAATTTTGATATCAGTCAATGTAGTTTTTCATTGAAAACAACACTATGATCTTAAATTTTCTCCTAGTCGGTGTGGTCCATTTGTATACTTTAACCGGAGATTCATACCAATGCACATCTATCCTGAATACAATGGGTTCCAGTCCTTGTCTGCCTGAAAAACAATGTAAAAGTTAAACAAAATTCATGTCAAAGAAAGTATTTATGCAATTGTTCCTGATACTGCAGCAAAAATCAGACTACTGCTGCACAAACAGCTGTGCAGGAACCTTTATCTCAGCCAGTTTTCATATCTAGGACAGCCATCACTTACAAAATACACTGTACAATGTTTGAAAATGAGCAAACAATGAATTCTGACATGTAACAAGTATAAAACACTTTTGTTCTATAACATTTCTGATGAAATTAAATGTAAAGACAAATAAAAACAAATTGCATATTGATTATTTTCAATAAACCAAGAAGAGTGACTGTCTTGGACTTGGACAATCCAGAATTCATATGAAAATGGCAAAATTTTGCTAGTTACTTATTTTGCTGCATTCAGAACTCCTTGTTTACCTCATCCAGACAACTTGTCAGGACCATCAGGACAACGAGTAGGTACGCGCACATCTCAGATCCAGCGGCCGCCATTTTGTTCCATTTCCAGTGTGACAGATGGGTTTATCAATTTAGACATATTTTAAAGGTAAGTGCACTCTTAGTATTATGTTTGATCTTTCATGTCAGGAAGTTTGATGGTGAATGGTTCGTTAAAACTTAGTTTTCTGTCGGCCTGAAAATGCATACCCCTCACGCTCACCGCCATCCGCCATATTGAAGTTGTTCAAAACTGCAAATAAACATGGTCACTATCCTTTATTAATGCCTAAAGACATTGTACATGTGTATATTTTTAATCATCATAGTCTAGGGGGCCCGATGATTAGAGGTGTAGAAAGTGTTCTGCAAGTTGTTCACTGATGCTGTATCGGTAAGTTTAGGTCACGTGATCACTTTCCCGGTTGCTCATTAGCTCATTTCATTTGTTTTGTAAACAAACTGCACATTATGTACCTTCTGTGAAAATTTCAAGTGAATATCTTTAATATTAAGGAAATGGCATTAAAAAAATAGTTTGAAATCCTCTGTTAGGGACACACTCGCTCTATTATTTTACTGTTAATTGATAGGAACAAATGGGACGCCAATTACTAATCTTTAAATGTCCATAACTTCCTTAATATTGAACCTATTCCTATGATCTAGGTGTCATTTTGAAAGTCTTTTCCACCTCTACCTTAATGTTTTCTCAAAATAGCCATTTGTAGGGTTTGAAATTTTTGGTCACATACCTACAACGAGGCCACGTTCACTGCCCACAAAGCAACCAGCTAGAAAGTAAACATTCACTAGTTTACCATAGTTTATTTTACATGCTGAATAGGTTTTGTAACTCCCCAGATGCATAGTTACCTTACCTGCAACAGACAACCACAAATATACCCATTGATAACAACAATAAAGGCCCATAAAATTCCTACCCCTATCTTATGGTTGCTGCAGATATAATTGTTTCCATACAAATGCATCTGTGACGTCATCTCGTCCTGCTCGCCGGATGGGGATCAGGGCGAGAGAGGCGAGAGGGACAGCTTGTCCCGGACGCCAAAATTGGGCTTTAAACATCTTGGACAACTTGTTGGACGAAGTGTTCCCAACGTAACACCATACCAACAAATGTCACTGCGATAACGAAATCATTCATTCTTATTACAGAGCTTACGCGAGTTAATTCAGCAATGTACTCTTACTTTATCTACACATTTCCCTACCCACAGTGTAGAGGCCACGACTGCGATGATTAATGAAAAACATAATGGTAATGAAAATCTCACCGTTTCCTGAAATTACTTGGCCAACTAAAGAATTTCCCTCAGTGTTTACAAAGCATCAGGAGGTCGCTTAATCCCCGATTCGGGACGGAGATCGGATACGCCGAAGAATATTTGGCAAAATGCTATTTCGGAAGGACTGGTATTTATATTCTATTCTGTATTTATTTATATGGATATCGTTATCATTACCATTGTTATCATTATTATCATCATTATCATTATCATTGTTATTGTTAGGCTGGGTTAACCCTAACAACAATTTTCGTATTACTTTATTCTCGTGATTTAATCAAAGGTTATTTCAGGTAGATTTAATATTATTTTTGATCGTTGAAACTTCAGATCAGTATGGCAACTTTCAGCTCCAGTATTAATCACTTATCCTGTAAAACCCTAAACTGAATTAAATTTATTCTTTATATATATGGCATCATTATTGATATATTCATTCATATATATCTTTATTATCACAGAGACTAATAGGTTCTTTTAATAGATACTGTGCTTCTCATGTCTATGTACTTCGAGTGATTTCACTGGTGTAAGTGCAGTGTCTTTTAGTTTCGTCTACCACTGTGTTTCCCCACCTTGTATCTCTGTGGTGTGGTTCCCTTCTTGTTCAGTGTCATATAATGTAGGAATCACAAAATGGGATTATAAGAAACACTGCGTGCAAAAAGAACTTACAAATTTATTTAATAAAAAATGCTTACAAATGGACCATTTGTTCCTTGGCCCGTCGTCCACTAACTTAGGGGGGAGATGTACTGGAATCTGTGGTTAACTCCACACTAATACTAAAGATAATCTTAAATCTTATGTTTAATTGCGCAGTTTTCTTCTAATGAGTTCCCAGAGTCAACACTGATTCACCTTCACTCATTGATGCTCCAAGCTGTTGGCGGGCAGATACCCGGGTAGGTAACCGGGTATTTGAGTACTAAGTATCCAGACGGGTACCTGGGACAAAATATAAATCGTCAGGTATTTTCTATAATATTCTAAGGCAAATATTAAGGGTCTAAAGTTCGAATATGAGTACTGGTGTGCAATTATTAATAAAATATGGACATAATGATGGAAAAGGGAAACAGTTGGGTCTACAGAAGGTAAAGGGAATGGATATGCGTACTGTACGATCATTAATGAATAAAAGGTGAGGATGATATAAATATTTCCTTCACCCTTGCATCCACCCAGTGGTCATTGACCAATAACAGAGCGTCAGAGATATCCCGTGACATCGCGCAACTTAGAGGGTTTATTCGCTCGTTATTTCAAGGAAGGCAGACCCTCCTACAGTCTCACTAGCACTTACTTTAGTTTAGTCCTTTATTTACCACCCTGGCTAACTGTACATGCGTGGGCAAGCTGTGGTACATTTAATGCATGGTCATAACATTACATAATGGTATTACATTTGGATATTATCCTATAACATTGTTATGATAAGTAGTTTGTCATTTCAAGGAAGGGAAACAATTGCACAGTCCTTTAACTACTCATCTGGCACGCCGGCATATAGCTTGGGCGTGGAAAAGCATTAATACATTTGATATGCAGTCACGTGATACTACATTCCAAATTTAGGATACAACATAATTATATCTTCTAAGAGATCAGATTATATGAAATATTTACATAGTTCTCCGTACCTCATGATAGATGATCTGAAAGGCTGTAACACATGGCACTCTGAGATATAATGTACAAGTGTTCGCTTATATTCTTCATTACACAGTTTACACTTAGTTTCTTCGACATTACAAGCTGTACTGACCTCCCAATACATTCTATATACAAGCCTGATTCTTGTAGTCACAACATCACACTGTCTTGTTCTTGTTTTATATAAACCATAAATGAATGAATCTTACCTAAACCGGCCATAGTGCTTTATGCTACAGCTTTCGGGGCGTTGAGAAGTAATTAACTCAGTCAAGTCCTCTTTGAAGGAAGCTTTAATGATGTATAAAATCCTAGAAAGAGGTAACCCAAGATCTATATCCATACTTTGTTTGTCACATGCTGACTTTGCTAGGCGATCAGCATGATCATGCCTAGGGATTCCAACATGCGATGGGATCCACACAAACGTATATTATGGCCTCGTTCTTTTGCACGATACACGTTTATCCTGATGTCATTTGCAATATTTCCCGCACCTTTGTCTAGAGTGTTCAGAGCCTGGAGAGCACTCTGTGAATCACAGAAAATGACCCCTGAGCCTTGACTCAATAGAAATTCGGTGGCCATGAGTATTCCTGCCAACTCTGTTTGTGTAGTGCTAGCCCAGTCATGAACCCTCCTACAATCCTGGTGCTGCAAAATGCTGTTTTTATATACAACAAAGACGCATCCTGCTCTACTCCCAGATTGCAAGGATCCGTCAGTGTAGCATTCGTATGCATTGGGCAGAGTTTCTAGATGTTCACTTATAATTGCAAGTGCATACTGCTTAAGTATAGCAAGGGGGACACTGTCTTTTTGGAGGGCAGTCGTATAATATACACTTAGGTCAGACATTTTCCACGGTGGTACAGAACGTCCATGTAGGGTCTTAGTTATGGGTATGTTCAGCTGAGCTAAGTGTTTACATGTTACTTGTATCTATGGATTTGAGAATGAATCGGTGTTGTCTATCAAAGTTAGCTCTTCTATTCTGTGTTTTAGTTGTCTTTGGAACTCTGTACAGTGGAGGGGTTCTCTAATTGATTTGACACTAAATGTGGTATTTATGTATAATATTCTTTCATAAAGAGAAGGCAAATTAGGTTCTGTCCTCATATTCATAATCCTTGTTGTTCTAGGGGCACCAAGAATGATTCTCATGGCTTCATTTTGTACACTTTCTAAACTAGTTAACTCTGATTCCTTGAACAATACTAGGTGCAATGCATGGTAATCTATGACCGACCTTATGTATGACAAGTAGAAGAGTCTCGCAGTATTGACATTAATACCATAGCCTTTGCCGACAAGTGTCCTAAGTGGCTTCAGCCGCTCCCATAGCCTTTTCTTCAGGTTTCTGATGAATTCTGAATCATTAACAATCACCCCGAGGTATCTGTATTAGTGGCAGAGATCTAGCTCAACGTCATCAATATGAAACCTTGGCAGAGGGATTGTCTTTGGGTTAAGTGCCTTAGTTTTTCAGTTTTTTCAGTTAAGCCACACTCAGTAGCCCTTGCAGAAAGTATATCAAGAATCTTGCATTCTTTCCTCAGATGGGGATTTAATGCAGATGTCATCAGCATAGCAAATAATGGAGTTATTGCCTGCAAGTGGATATCGCCCAGTAATCTATGCATTAGGATATTAAATAGCATGGGACTAAGTACGCCTCCCTGAAGTGTGCCGAGTTCAAATACTTTTGCATGGGTGCTCTTAATGCCCTTGAAGAGAACCTGAGCCGATCGATTTGATAGATACATTTGAATCCATGTTAACAGTTTTCCCTGAGTACCAAAGCTAGCTAGTTGCTCAAGGATAATTTCCTTGTTTGCAATATCAAAGGCAGATTTAAGATCAAGCAATACGGTTTGCATTCCTGGGTTTGAGTTTGTTAAGTACTCTGCAAAGCAGAGAAATCCAAACAGTCTGGGGGATAATTTTGCATTTATGCGATACATGAGCCTGTTCAGAATTATTCTCTCAAGTACTTTGCACAGACAGGAGGTCAGGGAAATGGGTCAATATTTGTCAGTATTGGGTTTGGGTATAGGAATGATTAAGCTTTTAGTCCAGGAGCTTGGGAGGATTCCTTGTGATAGGCTGAGTCTATACAGGTGTAAAAGTGGGTTGCCTGGGCCAAGGAACATCAACGGGTTTAGGAGCTTGCTAATTGTTATAAAGATGATAAGACGACAGACAATCCTCTGCAGTTTCCGAAAGCCAATAAGGAATTCAGAGAATTAAAAACTCAGATTCGTAGTAAACACTGGGAACAATTCTTGCAAAGTATCAATAGTCAAACTTCTGTAGATGACGTATGGAGAAAAAATAATAGGCTGAGAGGTAAAGCTCCCACAACACCGCAGTTCCACAGTCCACAAGAACAGGCTAACATGCTGCTAGAGCAGTGGGCTGGAAATTCTCAGTTACACTCACTTCTACAAGGGATAAAAATCAGCTCAACAAGTCGAAAATAGATAGAAATTTTAATATAGCAATAGCCTGTGCTGCCATTGACCCCTCCGACTTTGTCGAAATAACCGAGTGGGAACTCATTAGCTAAGTTAAGTTAAGTAAGTTTATTTACCACCCTGGCTATCTGCTCACGCGTGGGCAATCATGATTACAGCTTTACATATATCTGACACAGTATAGTAGTCTGTGACTACTATAATAGTACATGGTAATATATAAATATGTCATACATCATACAAAAATAATACGTTAATATGCTTTTGCCAATGTGTTTACATAACACCGTGTTTTTGTTTACGGCAGCTTTACATAGTAAATTTTGGATATAATACAAGTATATCTTCCAGTGTATCAGATGAAATGAAATATTCACATAGTTCTCTATACTCTGAAAGGCTGTATCACATGACATTCCGATATATAATGCTCAAGCGTTCGCTTGTTTTCTTCGTTACACAGTCTACATATAGATTCATCTGCACTTCTTGCACCGTGCAGTTGCCAATACATTCTGTAACCTAAACGTATTCTGGCAATAACCACGTCACATTGTCTGGTTCGACTTCGGTGCCACCCATAGGAGGGCTTGCTATTTCTATACTGATCGTAGTGCCTTATGGTACAGCTTTCAGGCCTTTGAATGTTCGTCAGATCTACTAGTTCTTCCTTATGAGAACTTTTCAATATATGTGCAACCCTAGCAAGAGGCATCCCAAGATCTATGTTCACAGTGTCTGCTGCAGGCTTCCTTCGCCAATTTGTCTACGTGGTCGTGCTTGCTTAGGCTAATATGAGATGGTAGCCATACAAATTGAATGT